TGGACCCTGTGGTGACCCATCACCTTGAAGCCCACGCCCGTCCGACGTGCTCCCTCCAAACTCATCGTCGATGGGGTCCGGCGTAACGGTTTTCGGGTCGCCGTTTCGATCTCCGCCGGCCACGGGACGATCAGGGGATAAAGGCGAGAAAGGACCGCGGCGGGTGGGAGAGGCGAGGAGGTCCAAAGCGCGGCGTAGGGAGTGGTCGTTGAGAGGTTCCATGCCTGTCCAACCAAGGGATGGAGAGGGAAAGAGAAGAGGTTCAGTGCAGGGTGGTGGTGAGCTCCATCCGCACGGGGCAGCCCTTCCCCCCTCCCTCCCTCCGGCCTCTTCTACCTTTGCCTTTACCCCACGCACCTGCAGGCAAACTTGGAGCCAGGGCCAGGTCGCCTCGCTCCCCATCACCCGCGTTCGCAAGTCTTTCCCAGTCGCCCCCAAACGTGCCATGTCCTCAGCCTCCAACATACTCAACACGTGGAGCACCGCGTCTTGGGGCAAAGCTTCCATCAAACCAAAGCTCGAGCCTTCTCCGTCGCTTTCGCTGCCCACTTTGTCTTCCACGTGCGTCATTTCTTTGTCACACGTGTCCCTCTGTTCCACCTCCTGCTCCTCTTCCTCCTCTTCAAGCCACAGGGAAGGGAAGAGGCTCCGTCGATAGACGCCATCACGGGTTGTTGGATTGGCTAGAGACCGCCACCCACCATCGCCATCGTCGTGATGATCCTTACGTCCTCCAGCACTACCTCTATGGAATAAGACGAGAGCCTCCTCTGCCATTTCGTGCAGCATTTTGAGTCCTGGGGCGGTGGGGCTGTATGTTGAGTTTGCGTGTGGAGCGTCACGAAGCAGTCGGTTATGTTCTGCCACCTTTTCGCTAGCTGGTTTGCGCGATGGTTTCCCGTTGGGCGTTGCAACTCCTGCTGTACATACATAAGGGATATGAGAGACGAATGCGAGAGGACGCATGTTGTGGTGCATCACTCTAAGTCGAGGAGGAATCGACAAGTGGAAGAGAAGGAAGGGCACCTCCTTTGCCTGTCCTTGAAGTTGACACGGGCCTGTCAAAGCCAAGGGACAGAACATGGAATAAATCCGGATAAGACCTGGATAAAAGGCCATGGACACGATGCTGAGTATCACTACTCTCTGGCTCGTCAGCTTTGACTCCGTGCCGGAGGTCCCCGCGAAGCTCGTGGGAGCCACCCGGTCTGAGAACGACACGAGCATTCCGTCACAGCGGCAGTTGTCTCTTCGTTTTAATCCCCAAGCCGCACAGGGAGGGCACTTTCACTGGCACCATCACCCCCGGACCTCCAAGACATAAGGAAAGAGGTGTTGATGCCAGCGAAGGATCCAAAGGGGCGGGACATAGCATTTGGGACCCCAGCGGGAGCTGTGTTTTGGTCGAGGACGACTCGGATAGTAATTTCCAAACTTTTTCCTGAGAACGCCGAGCCGTCGGCCGAGGGGATCGCCATCTCGCAAGGGGGGGGGGACAAACGTGCAAGGCTTGAGGTGGGAAAAATGGACCGACTTAGGTCATGTGACTACCCTCTCTAGAGTGTCTTGGATTTGGAAGCACTGGATGGATGCGTTAGTATTTGCGGACTGCATGCGCGGTGGCCAGGTCTGGCGGCCTGTTAAACTTTCCTGCCCCGCAACACTTGTACGACTGAAAAGTTTAATAATACATCAAAAGACAATAGTCAAGTCTTGTGGTTGCGAGATGACCAAAGCCGAAATTTGGCACTCCACAGGACATTCGGGGCCCTGCGAGATGACTAAAACCGAAATTTAGTACTCAGTACATTCGGAGCCCTCCATTGTTATTTAATTGCCCGTAAAAGTCATAGCTGCTTTCGACAAATGATAGCAGATTCAAGAAAATTCGCACATTTGCTTGTACCCTGCAGATACTTTATTTCTATTTAAAGGCTTTTCTGTATAATACGTTGTGTCTATCAGCATTTGTCATCGACCTTCGCCGCCACCTGCTCAAAAGCAGGCAAGAATCGAGCAGGGATAGTCTTCAAGACGTTCTCACCATGCTCTTCGAAAAGCTGTTCCAGGTGAACCTGGCATGGAAGGGAGGGGTTCGCGTCGTTGAAGACAACGCGCATATCTCCGGCAGCGTCTTTGGCCCAATCAAAGTAGAGCAATCGGGATCCCTTCCTCGCCATCTCATTCAAACTTTGCCGCTCTTGCGCCTCCCACAGGCTAGCCAACGCTCTCAAATCGAAACATTGCTTGGGCAGCAGGTCCTCCAAAGGCTTTAGAAAGCGACTCACGCATCCAGTGTCAGGGAGTCTGGTGGTATTATCGATTTGTGATGGCTCCTCGGCAGGTGATGGGGATGCTGCCGCGGACGTGGTCGAGTTCACTTGGCCCCTCAAGTTGCCCCAACGCCATCGATAAAACAAAACCGCGGTGGAGTACGTTAATGGGTTCAGGGAGGCATTGATTTTTGTCCCCCCTTTCCCTTGCTGAAGGCTCCTTTTGGCGCCCTTCTCCGCCGTCGCTTCCTTTCCCATCTCCAGCATCATAACTTCCCGTACCAGGACTTCCCAGGGGTCTTTCTGAGCGTCCATTACGCCATTGTAGTGCACCACTACCATGTTCTCGGGACCAAAATGTCTGCCGTATGTTTCTAGGACACGCTTGTAGCACACGCCATGGATGTGATTCCGCCCGTTGGCAGTAGGGACGCTAGGCAGGGGACCTGACACATCCGCCTCGGGGTCTACTTCCGCCATCACGTTCCACAAAAAGTCACTCAGGTGCAGGGGGGACTTGAGCGGATCTGCCCTTTTGGCAAACTCGCTGTAGTAGCTGACGAGATGTTCCTGCTTGCGTCGGTAGTAAAGCACCACCGTGGTTTGAAAATTCGAAAAAAGTTTGGTCACTTCTGCCACCATTTCATCGTTGAGATTGTCGAAATGTTCGCTGGATATGAAGATATTTTGGGAATCGTTGTCTCGATGGATTGATTCCAGAGTCCTCGTCAAGTCGCCGAGAGGATTTTCAGGGCAATTCTTCGCTTCTGGGATTTTCATGCCCTGAAGTTGCATGGCAACCGCACGAAACAGAGAAGATGGAGAGTTAGTGTCCCCATAACAGCCCATAGGCAACATAATACCTCTTTGCAGCAGGAAATCTCGCGATCGCATCATTTGATATTTGATGTATGAAGAGCCCGTCTTGTGTGCACCGATGTGAAGAAAAAGCTTCGGCTTCTTTTTCACTTGCGCCAGCGCAATCTTTTTGTACAAATCTGTAGGAACTAGTGTTGCGGACAACCACAGCATAATGCAAGCAGTGCTCACCAGGATAAGCCATGGTTTTAAGTCCCATCGGAGACAAGCTTTGATCGCGCTTGGGCGGCTGAGTATTGATGAGCTGCTGACGCTTTTGCTGGCTTTGCCAGTGCTCTCATTACACCTCATGTCGAGTGCCGCGCCAAAGTTGTTTATCTGAGCGGTGTGTATTATGGGTATTCACACCCAGTGTCAGGGAGTCTGGTGGTATTATGGACTTGTAATGGCTCCTCAGCAGGTGATTGGGATGCTGCCACAAAATACATGACACAAAACCATTATTCACGACACCTTTGATCGGACACAGTCTAACATCACACAAGGTATATGGGCCATGGTTTGTCACCTCCGGGATACCGCACCCAGTTTTATATCAACCTTACTTTTTAAGCAAGGTTCCATATTTCAGGGGTTCTATAACCTAACTATTACCAAAGAATTAGTTGTCAAAATTTCAATTGCAACGATTATGGGGCTCATTCGCCCGCTTGTCGTGCTGTCCACAAGAATTGCTGGCACTTCCATCAAGTTCCATGTCGCACTTGCGCCGTTACATTTGTTGAAACGGTCGGGTCGGCTTCAGAGCAAGTAGCAGCAAGCTCAAAAGAGGTCGAGGGACGATCCCGGGAAAGTGTTGTAGCATTCCCATAGTGAACCCATCGAAGAGTTCAGAGACAAGAAGCAAGAACTGTGCAATATTGCCACTATATCGCGATTCCTTCATCAATCACGTAGCGCGCATGCGAAAGCCAAAAACACACGAAGTCTTCGGCAATAGTCCCATCCACTAAAGCCCACCCGTTCCGAGGATGGTAACCAATCATACAGATCCACGTTACCCATAAGGAATAGGAGGGAGACAGTATATGCCCGTACACCGCGCGTTTACTGGATTCGCCCGCCTTGCGGTTCAATTATCGCCTTTTCACAAAGGGTGGGCTATCGGTGCCTCGTTATGCCACGCATGGTGCTCTCTCTCTCTTTCTCTACCGAGAATCATCAATATATATCTCTTCTCAAATAAGACGGTTTTAACACACTCGAATAGATCAGTGGCATGTGGCTCACGGGCTCAAGGAATGGGCAAGTGGTGGGTGGATGGGATTCGGATCTTTTTTAAATCAGGATTTCGGAACTTTAAATATGCGTCTAATGTGGCCAGGAAAAGCCAATGAACTAGTCTAACGAATCAAGATATCTCAAGGAAGTGATAAAGGCCAACAAAATTAATGCGCCCCGCTCGCTCTTCACTCTCCTCTTAGCCCGTCCATCCAATCGTACATGCGAACTACCTACTCAAAGCACTATACACAGATAATATTATGATGGGACAGAGAGGGCAATAAAGCTTGCACGAGAGGCGACGGCGGGCCTCCATCCCTTTTCGTCGTCGCTTCTATCGTCGTCAGGAGGAGGAGGAGCACCACTCCCAGTCCCACCACCACCGCAGCAGCAGTCCCATCATCTGGCGCAGGTCGTGGAGAGCCACGGAGCGGGGTCGAAGAAGGGGAATTCAGGCACCTACAAGACGATTGAGGAAGTCAAGTGCCTCAACTTCGTGATCCTGACGCATTCGATGGGGCGTGTGTTTAACAACGTGGGCCCCGATCTGGTGCGAGATTAGAAGCGGTGGCAGGAGCTGGAGCTAAAGGAGGAGGGCCTGTGCAGGGCAAGAAAGCAACGGACACAAAGAAATGGAGGGCCACATCGCGCTGACCATTGACGACGTTCACATTCTGCGCCCCCATTGATCAGTATGCGGTTATACGCCTGTGCGGCGGCATCACCTTCCGCGTGATGACCAAGCCGTCTGTCACGGCGCGGGGGTTGGTGATGCTGGATGATGAGGACGATGGCGCGGGCGGCGACGGCGGCGGAGGAGAGGTTGGAGGCGATATCTTCAGGCGCTGGTGATGGTTGGCAACCGAAGGATGTTTCGCTGAACCCACTTGCCTGCTCCGAAGAAGGAGACGAAGGAGAACAAGGCCGTGGGGGTGGAACGGCCACGGTATGATCTGGATTTTCGACACAGCGTGGAGTGCTTCCGGTCGTTTGACATTGCCTTCGAGAAGGATGAGGTCATGACGAAAGCACAGCGGTCCGTGGAGGTGCTGGCGTCCGCGGTGTACTACATGTGCTCCTACGTCCCCACCATCGGCAGCCGCTACGCCACATTGCCTCTCACGCTGGCGGAGCTGGGCGTCTTTTACATACGTGCAGACAGCCCGATCGCTCAGCCCATCCTCCGTGACCCCTCGCGGTACTAGAGGCGGAGCGAGGCCGAGCGAGGCGGCCGGTGGGGAGTGTAAGGAGGGGGAAGGCGGAGAGGAGGTGGCGTTGGAGGGGGACGAGGACGTGCCGGTGGCGGAGTTGGTGGAGGTGGTGATGCTCGGCGTCAGGGCCAAGGTTGACGGCCACAATCCTATACACAAAGCCCTGTACACCAATGTCCCCGCGGTGTGTGTGCGAAGCAGTCTAGAGTAGCAGCGGGGAAGAGAAAAGGTGCTGGCGGCGGCGGCAGTAGCAGCGGGGACGAGGGCAGCAAGGAGATGGAGAAGAAAGGAAAAGGACAGACGGAGGAAAAATGGATGGCAATGCAGGAGGACGAGGAGGCACGGCTTGCCGCATCGTTCTTCGTGCAAGACGATGCGCGCCGGGAAGACAACGAGGACAGCGGCGAGCAGGAGCACACGGCGACGGCGGGCGATATAGGTGGTGGGGCTGATGGGGCTTGCGCGGGAGTGTATGGGGAAGGGGAAGAGGTGGAGCAGGAGCAGGAACAGGAACAGAAGCACGTAATGTTGCTGCAGCTGGTGGGGGGGACGGGGCGCAGGGTGGGG